CTGCAGCACCAATAACTGCATCGTTTTCACTAATCATACATTTAACTGTGCTCCTAACTTTGCCTTTAAGATGATTAGTTTGTTGGCGGTATTTAACCCTCTCATACCCATATCATTACACAGTAATCGACGTTGCATACACCAGAATGAAAGTCTTCTATTGATCCGCAGTAAACCCTGAAAACCCCTCACCCATTGCAATTTTGTAAGGGATCATTGACTTCAACAAGCTGAGAATCAGTACCAAAGACAGAATTATTAAACGATTCCATTTTGAATATGTTCTTAAACCAAACACATTCATAATGATTACACCTATTACGACAGAAGAAAACAGCTTCATTAATTTCAAAATCTTCGATATAATCATTGACATTCCATAATCCGAGAACGTTCAGCAATCCAAGTTTGCATTGGAGCTGAAAGCAGATTACCAATCATTTTAGTCATGTTACGCAACTATCTATTATCGATACGAGAAAGGAGTACTAAATAGGCGATAGCTGCAAATGCGCATTTGCTTGCGCAGTTAATCTTGAAGTATTTTGAATAACGCATTATTCACTGGCATTTTGGCATTTTCAAACTTAAACGATGGTAAGGAAACTCTAAAATTATTCCTCGTACAGTAATAGTGTATGCTTCTTTACGCAATTTATCATAATAGTATTGCAATCTGGATTTAATAAAGATAACTGAGGCTGGTCCACTGTCAATCATTTGACTTAATCTGGTGTAAGATTGGATCAGCTTAAGCTGGCTGACTTGGCTCAAAAAGCCAAGCCAAGCTGGCTCAAGCCGGCTAGATTAAGCCAGTTTAAGCCAAGCCGGCTCTAATAAGTAAAATCTAAAAAGTGTGTTTTACAATAGGTTTGGTTCAAACTCTAAATTTTATTAGTTTCACCGAAGTTTGCAAATTAGTTTGAGTCCAAATATATTTATATGAATTTTTTGGTGCTGAACAAGTTTACTTAATGCATGAAGTTAGAATTAATTAGTAAAATTTTGAGAATCATAAGATTTTATAGAATTTTATTAATCAAATTTTATAAAATCTTATGATTCTTAAAATTTAATTCTGGATTTTTTAATAATTACCAATGTTTATCATCCGCATGCAGTAATACAGTAATATGTTGCGCCATAGTATAGTATAGTATGCTGTGTCACGTGAGCCGATCAGAGCCGGCTCACATCGGCTCCATAACTCAGCTCAAAAGCCATGGCTAAGCCGGCTCACTATAAGCCGATAACAACCCTAATAAAGGACAATACTTCTTTCATGTATTTGAATTGTTTTTTTTGTCAACGAAAATTATAAGATTCTAAAATAATAATAATAATAATAATATAAATTTTAAATTCATAATTCATAATTTGTTAATAATGTTTAAGAAAATTTTAATTAATTGCATTCGTTTCTTCACTTCCAAACCTTAATAATCCTAAAAAGGAGAGGTACAAATCGGAACTCTTGTTGTAGTAGATTTTCTTGGACCACCCACTGAGGAAGTTTCAGAACAGGCCACATTTTCTCAGATTAATGCAATGCCGATATTTGCATGTTTACTATACAATTAAATCAGGATTTACTTCAAATAATCCTTCTGATTATACATTTAAGATTGACCTTACCGACTTTATACACCATTGTTATTTATTAATCCTCCCGGTACTGCACCCATTCTAATAGACTTTGATACCTTTACATGTTTGTCTCTA